CAAGTTTGCACGTGCTCTCCAGATACATGTCTACAAACACAATCACAAAAACAGGACCTCGATGAAGCTGTTGACAAACAAAACACGATTTGGTGGCAAAAACATTCGAAAAATGGCTCGTTCGCCCTTAACCAGCCGCTGCAGCAGGTGTAAAACGACCACCCAACCCGGTGTTTTTGTATTTTTTCCACACCACTGACACGGTGACGATAGCCTAGGTCATGGTCGACCACGGAAAAAAACTGAACGCGGATTGATCATTTCTTGGTCCAGATATCGCTGTTTCAGTGGTGTGGACGAAATTGAGGGACGGCACCCTTGCGGTCGAGGGCAGCACAAGCCAAATACTCACGTTCTTGTGCATTTTTCTATTTTTTCTCCCAAACGAACAGCTGGCCATGCTCTGCGAGTCTATAGACGCGCGTACAAGCCGTCAAGTCGGTCGTCCGGTCATCTGGAGATGCATAGGCGTCGCGTTGCGTCATAGTCATTGCTTGTTCTTGGGTGAATATATTTGTCTCAGCATGTTTCGGCCGACGTACCCAAGCCCAAAAATCAATTTTGAGGCCGGAACGCACCCGTGCGGCCGAAACCAAGTTTACACGTGCTCCCCAGATACATGTCTACAAACACAATCACAAAAGACAGGATCGATGAAACTGCTGACAAACTAAACACGATGTGGTGGAAAAAACATTCGAAAAATGGCTCGTTAGCCCTTAACCAGCCGCTGCAGCAGGTGTAAAACGACCACCCAACCCGTTTTTTTTTGTATTATTTCCAAACCATTGACACGGTGACGATAGCCTAGGTCATGGTCGACCACGAAGGAAAACTGAACGCGGATTGATCATTTCTTGGTCCAGATATCGCTGTTTCAGTGGTGTGGACGAAATTGAGGGACGGCACCCTTGCGGTCGAGGGCAGCACAAGCCAAATACTCACGTTCTTGTGCATTTTTCTATTTTTTCTCCCAAACGAACAGCTGGCCATGCTCTGCGAGTCTATAGACGCGCGTACAAGCCGTCAAGTCGGTCGTCCGGTCATCTGGAGATGCATAGGCGTCGCGTTGCGTCATCGTCATTGCTTGTTCGTGGGTGAATATATTTGTCTTACCATTTTTCGGCCGACGTACCCAAGCCCAAAAATCAATTTTGAGGCCGGAACGCACCCGTGCGGCCGAAACCAAGTTTGCACGTGCTCTCCAGATACATGTCTACAAACACAATCACAAAATACAGGATCGATAAAACTGTTGACAAACAAAACACGATTTGGTGGCAACAATATTCCAAAAACGGCCCCTGAGCCCTTGACCAGCCGCTGCAGCAGGTGTAAAACGACCACCCAACCCGGTTTTTTTGTATTTTTTCCAAACCACTGACACGGTGACGATAGCCTAGGTCATGGTCGACCACGAAGGAAAACTGAACGCGGATTGATCATTTCTTGGTTCAGATATCGCTCTTTCAGTGGTGTGGACGAAATTGAGGGACGGCACCCTTGCGGTCGAGGGCAGCACAAGCCAAATACTCACGTTCTTGTG